GCCAATTTGGCCGTGATGCGCAGAAGAGTGCATTAGAATATTGCTTGCGCAGAGCAGGTACGGAGGTAGAGGTATGGATGTATGGAGGAATGGTGGTATGGATAAGAAGAGAGTAAGGAGGAGTGGAAGCATAAAACTCTGAACGCATGTAGGTGCATGCAGCTATGGGCGCGCGCGGGCATGGATGAAGGGCCGCATGGATGCGTGGAGTCTGAGAGTGTGGGACTATGGATATGTGGATGTATGGTGTTACATGGTCAAGGACATATGGAGGCATGGAACTATATATACACACAGATATAAACATTTCTGATGTAACCATATTATAACCATCGCGCGCTTCGCGAGCGCTCAAGTTCTAGCTAGGCCCGACAGGCTAACGCATGGAATATCACTTGTTGAATCGCCTTGTGCATCTAACGACCTTGTTGGAGTCCCTGCGCAAGCCTCGGAAGCGTATAGAAGGGGAAATGCGGAAACCACAGAATCCGCCGACCCCTTGGGGATCATCGGCGTGTGAGATGCTTCCCCCTCCCCAAACCCCTCCCCCGGGAGCCCGGTCCGGTCGATTTGGAGGGGGGGGGGGGGTCCGGGACGAGCGGGGGGGGTCCGGGACGAGCGCAGCACGGCCGGGACGAGCGGTTCACGAGGCTTTTCCGGGCCCAAGAGGGCCTCCAGACGGGCCAAGAAGCCCCCAAGAGGCCTCCAAGACGGCCCACGAAGGCCCCGAGACGCCAAACGACCGCTCCAAGACGCCCACGATGGCCCCAAGACGGGCCAAGAGGTCTCCAAGACGGCCCCCGAGGTCCCAAACAAGCCTCCCAAGAGGGCCCCAAGAGTCTAAAATTGTTGATTTTCCATTGTGTTTTTCGATGTTTGTTGCTTTTCCGCCTTTTCGTCTTCCCGACGCTCCAAGACGGCCAAAGAGGCCCCAAAGACAGCCCCAAGATAGCCCAAGAGGCCCCCAAGACGGCCTCCAGACGGCCCACGACGGCCCCAAGACGGCCCAAGAGGTCCCCAAGACGGCCCAAGAGGCCCGATTTGGAGGGGGGGGGGGTCCGGGACGAGCGCAGCACGGCCGGGACGAGCGGTTCACGGGGCTTTTCCGAGCCCAAGAGGGCCTCAAGACGGGCCAAGAAGCCCCCAAGAGGCCTCCAAGACGGCCCACGAAGGCCCCGAGACGCCAAACGACCGCTCCAAGACGCCCACGATGGCCCCAAGACGGGCCAAGAGGTCTCCAAGACGGCCCCCGAGGTCCCAAACAAGCCTCCCAAGAGGGCCCCAAGAGTCCGCCGACCCCTTGGGGATCATCGGCGTGTGAGATGCTTCCCCCTCCCCAAACCCCTCCCCCGGGAGCCCGGTCCGGTCGATTTGGAGGGGGGGGGGGGGTCCGGGACGAGCGGGGGGGGTCCGGGACGAGCGGTTCACGGGGCTTTTCCGGGCCCAAGAGGGCCTCAAGACGGGCCAAGAAGCCCCCAAGAGGCCTCCAAGACGGCCCACGAAGGCCCCGAGACGCCAAACGACCGCTCCAAGACGCCCAAGATGGCCCCAAGACGGGCCAAGAGGTCTCCAAGACGGCCCCCGAGGTCCCAAACAAGCCTCCCAAGAGGGCCCCAAGAGTCTAAAATTGTTGATTTTCCATTGTGTTTTTCGATGTTTTTTGCTTTTCCGCCTTTTCGGCTTCCCGACGCTCCAAGACGGCCAAAGAGGCCCCAAAGACAGCCCCAAGATGGCCCAAGAGGCCCCCAAGACGGCCTCCAGACGGCCCAAGACGGCCCCAACACGGCCCAAGAGGTCCCCAAGACGGCCCAAGAGGGCCGATTTGGAGGGGGGGGGGGGCCGGGACGAGCGCAGCACGGCCGGGACGAGCGGTTCACGGAGGCTTTTCCGGGCCCAAGAGGGCCTCAAGACGGGCCAAGAAGCCCCCAAGAGGCCTCCAAGACGGCCCACGAAGGCCCCGAGACGCCAAACGACCGCTCCAAGACGCCCAAGATGGCCCCAAGACGGGCCAAGAGGTCTCCAAGACGGCCCCCGAGGTCCCAAACAAGCCTCCCAAGAGGGCCCCAAGAGTCTAAAATTGTTGATTTTCCATAGTGTTTTTCTATGTTTTTTGTTTTTCCGCCTTTTCGGCTTCCCGACGCTCCAAGACGGCCAAAGAGGCCCCAAAGACAGCCCCAAGATGGCCCAAGAGGCCCCCAAGACGGCCTCCAGACGGCCCACGACGGCCCCAACACGGCCCAAGAGGTCCCCAAGACGGCCCAAGAGGGCTCCAAGACGGCACCAAGAGGGGCCCAAGAGGGCGACCAAACATGTTGAAACCCTTTCTGCCCCCAGGAGCCCCAGGGGGCCCCAAGAGTGCCCCAAGAGGCCCCCAGAGGCCCTCACGAGGCCGCCCAGACGCTCCAAGGAACCCCCAAGAAGCACCCCAGAGGCTCCGAAACGGCCCCCAAGTGGCTCCAAAACTCGCTTCTTACGCTCTTACGCTCGCAGCGTCACTCGTCCTCCTCCTCCTCATCATCCTCCTCCTCCCCCTCCTCCGAATACCCCAGCCTGCCCAATCACGGATCAGCCCCAGTTTCGGAATCCACAACTTACGTCCAGCATCCGCCGACCCCGCAGCAATCGAGGTGCCGTGGCGCTTCCATCTACTGAACATGCCTCCGTTTCGGCACACCCCGCACGCGGCAACTTGAGTAAAAGGCCCCAGAACCCGAATATACGCGCGGTTCCCCGCCAACATTGGGCACGTCCCTCATACATTTCGTGGCTCCACGGCGCGCTCCAACCATAGCCCCAGTACCCGCGGTCACGTAAACTTCCAACCCCACGCGCACACACACGTCGATCGTGTCGTGGCTCCAGAATACGTCCACCGTGGGGCCCAGTGGGAACATTCGCATGCAAGTATACCCCATGCCGGCACACCCTTTGCACGCGCCGTGGCCTCGCACATGGCCAAGTTGACCCATCATGACTCCTGGGCAGTCCCCAAAAAAACTCCCGACCGCTAAAAAAACTACCGACAGCTACATGCGTCCGCCACACCCAGTGCAGCGTTTCGTGGCCCCACAGGGAGCCCCACCCAAGGGCCAGTGGGGGTGGCCACATGCGTCCGCCACACCCAGTACAGCGTTTCGTGGCCCCATCGGGAGCTCCACCCCAGGGCCCAGTGGGGGTGGCCACATGCGTCCGCCATACCCAGTATAGCGTCTCGTGGCCCCTTGGGGAGCTCCATCGGAGGCCCAAGTAGGGGTGGCCACATGAGCCCACCACACCCAGTACAGCGTTTCGTGGACAATGGGACCGTCCGCATACGCCCCGCACACCCAATTTGACATTTTCACCCACCCCGTACGGCGCTTCGTGGCCCCCTAGGGAGCTCCACCGAAGCCGCCAGTGGGACCGCCGCCAGGCGTCCCGCACACGCAATTTAACATGTTCACCCACCCAGTATAGCGATGCGTGGCCCCATAGGGAGCTCCACCGAAGTTTTCAGTGGGATTGTTTACATCCGTTTTTTTGTGTTTCTTCCTCCTCCTCCTGCTGCTCCTCCTTCTAAAGAGCTCCACCGAAGCCCCCAGTGGGACCGCCCACATCCGTCCCACACACCCAGTTTGACAGTTCCACCCACCCAGCACAACGCTTCGCGGCCCCATAGAAAGCTCCACCGAAGCCACCAATGGGACCGCCAGCATGCGTCCCGCACACGCATTTTTTTTGTTTTTTCCCTTACGGTTCGCTTCCCCCATCTCGCGTTGCCAATCTCGCTTCGCTGGGGTCGCGCCGGGCGGACAGACCCGGCGAACGCGACTTCAAAATGAGCGCGCAGGTTATCATACGAGCGGGCAGGACGATAAACCGAGCGGGATTCAGAAGAGGACAATTGAGCTAGCAGGGGCTACATATCTCGTTAGCACAACAATACCCCCTTGTGCACTGGTCCACATATCCACGTCCGCACCTATACCCTGGAACAACATAATCAATAGAATCACCTACGCAGCAAGTTTCCAACTTATTGATACCAGTCCAAGTCCTCTTGGTGCAGCAGTAAGTGTTTGCTTGAGGGCACTCCAACTCACACCCCGAGGAACGGAGATGCACGTCACCAGGATGTTTATGCTGGCGATGCATGGTAGAGTTGAGGTTCTGGACATCGATCGGTATACCCTCCCCTCTCGCATCCTCATATTGTTTGTGGTCCGGCGTCTCGTCCTTCCACATGTTCGCGATTGGCAATTCGCTGGGGCCCGACGCCCGTGACTGGAGTAGCCCCACGCCGTCGGCCTCGTTCGTGGCGTCGCAGTTGTGCGAATCGTCCTCCATCAGGCAGCGTTCCTCCGAGGTCTTGGCTAAGTCATCGGCGGCAACGCAGCCGCGGCCGACGAGCAGGATGGCGAACGCTCCCGCAAGCACCACGACGTTCATTGCGGCAACGGCGGAGTAACAGGGGCTTGGCAGCAGTAGGAGCAAACCAATTGTTCCCTATTCCTGAAGAGTTGCCACAATGTCTTGAGCCAAAATGGCTACGGAGTCCCGCACACGCAATTTGACATTTTCACCCACCCAGTACAGCGTTTCGTGGCCCCATAGGGAGCTCCACCGAAGCTCCCAGTGTGACCGTCCGGATGCGTCCTGGAAGCCCAATTTGGCATTTTCACCCACCCAGTACAGCGCTTCGTGGCCCCATAGGGAGCTCCACCAAAGCCACTAGTGGGAGCGTCCGCATGCGTCCCACACACCCAATTTGGTATTTTCACCCACCCAGTACAGCGTTTCATGGCCCCGCAGGGAGCTCCACCGACGGCCCCGGTGCTACCGCCCGCATGCATTCCCCCCCACCCAGTGCAGCGCTTCGTGGCCCCATAGGGAGCTCCACCGAAGAAGATGTTCACAATTGCGGTACCCACGACTGCATGTGGTTGGGTCCCCCGCCACGAGAATGCACTATTTTGCAACATTCCTCCTGTAGAGGGACAGGCCCGCCATAAGCGTGGGGCCTGGGCTCAACCAGCGCCCGCAGCTGCAGGTAGGAGGCCTTGGTCGCGCCGCTCTGGGACAGCAGGCCGCCCATGCGACCGCCCCGGGGGAGGCCCTCGGGGTGCCCTGCCCGCTGCCCCCCCTCGAACGAGGAGAAGGACGACGACGACGACGACGAAGAAACAAGAACGAGGCCGTAGAGGAGGACGAGGAGGAGGAGGAGGAGGAGGAGGAGGAGGATCGAGGATCGAGGAGGAGGATCAAGGATCGAAAAGCGGGCGATCCTCCTCCTGCTCATCCTCGTCTTTCTCCTCCTCCTCCTCCTCCTCCTCCTCCTCCTCCTCCTCCTCCCTTTCCTCCTCCTCCGCCGCCTCGATCCTCGCCACCCGATCAAAATTGTTGCCAACACGTGGACGAAACCGCGACAATGAACGGCTGCGAAGCAGAAGCGCACGCGAACGAGAGAATGAAGGTAATGGCAGAGGAAGAGAGAGAGAGAGAGAGAGAGAGATCAAGGCTAAGGCCTGGCCAATGCATCATGGCGACGTACGACGTGCGACGGGCGTCCTGAGAGGAGGACTGCAAGGAAGACGGGAAGAGCAGGACGACGACGAGGACGACGAAGAAGACGGCGAGAACGGGGAGGGGACGAAGAGGACAAGAACGCAGGGAACGCGGAGAAGCAGCACTGAAGAAGGGCAAGCGACACGAACAGAAACTGCGGGAAGTCCGCACCGATGCCTTGGATCGGCGCTGACCCCCCCTCTCGGCGTCTCCAGCGACGCCCGTGGCGCGCGGAGAAAGGTCGAGCGCCGATCCGAGCGGCTCGTGCAGACCTCCGGAAGCTCACGCCTGTGCCGTCGTCTTCCGGCGGTTCAGGGATGGGGCCTCAGGGATGGGGACCTGCGGACATCAGAGGGATCCCAGGCTGAACCTTCACCGTCTGTGGGCACTCTCATGATAGCCCCATCCCTGGGGACCCCAATCTTGAACCGCCGACTCCTCCTCGAGAGGAGGAGGAGGAGGAGGAGGAGGAGGAGGAGGAGGAGGAGGAGGAGGAGGAGGAGGAGAAGAGAGGGAGAGGGAGAGGGAATGGAGGGAGAGGGAGAGGGAGAGGGAGAGGGAGGAGAACGGAGGAGGGAGAAGAGTGAGGAGGAGGAGGAGGAGGAGGAGGAGGAGGAGGAGGGCTCCGTAACCGTCTTGGCTCAGGGCCGCCTGCGGGGAACTCACATCCCCCCCCCGCAGGCGAGGGGGGGGGGGGGGGCGGCCTCGGCCCGCTGGCCGCGCCGCGGTCCCGCGGGCGCCAAGACAGCGGTCGCGGCAGGGTGCGCTCCGTCGGGGTGCGCAGCCGCTCGGCGTGGCAGACGCCAAATCGGGCCGGGCGAAAAAAGGGGGATGACAACCGGGGGGGCGGCTGAGAATCCGCTCGCGTGGCGGATTTCCCCGGCGCCTCCCGGCGCCGGAGGCGGCCACGTATCGAGGGAGGGGCCCCTCGGCGAGGCCGACACCGGCTGCGTGCAGCAGACTTCGTACCGCCCCCCTTGCCCAAATTCAATTCCCCCCGTGCGCTCGGCCCGAGCCAAACGCGGGGCCCGGCAGGCTCGCCGCACCCGGCGGCGGGCCAAGCAGCAAGCGGCCGAGCGGGCCACGAGCGACGAGCCACAGGGACTGGAGGAGGTGTGTCGAAGAACTCCTGCTACAGGTGGTAACGTTAGGGGGAGGCACTTCTGGTGGTGCAGTCTGGAGTGGCGGCGGGATCCGGCAGACCAGGCAGTGCTGGCAGCCCTTGCACCCTGCACCCACCGTCGGCGGCAGCAATGCGAGAGATGGCGGTATCAAGAGGTGGTTCAAGAAAATCGGCCCCATCAAGAGGTGTTTCAGAGGAAGTGGGTGCATCAAAAGGTGGCTCAAGAGAGTGGCGTGTTGCGAGCAGGGCCGGCAATGGCAGCAAACAGCTGTGTGGTGCGAGAAGGGCAGGCAGTGGCAGCAATGACAGCAAGCAGAGGGTACCATACGCCATCAGCTGCAGGCGTGGGCGCAAGAGCTGAATGCGAGCAGTCGTCATCTACAAGAGGGAACCATCGTGTGCGAGAAATCCAGGCACGAGAATGTGGTGGAGGGAGAAGCTACGACCACGTGGCGGGCCACAGGTTCGACCCAGGCTTGGCGCCAGGCCCCCAGGCGCCATCAGCTACAGGCTCGGAGTGGAGCGTGCAAGAAGAGTCCCATACTCCATCAGCTTTAGGCCCGGTCTGGCGATCGCGAAGTACGGCAGAGGCTGTGCGAGAAGGAGGCAGTGGCTGTGCGAGAAGCGAGTCAACGGCTGTGCGAGAAGGGCGGGCAGCAGTATCTCAAGCAGCGGATATGAGAGTAGGGGCGGCAGTGGCCGTGCGAGAAGGGACAGCACTGGCAGCTCAGGTATCGTGCGAAGGAGGCGGAAGTAGCAGTCGGAGCACCGTGCGAGAAGGTGCAGCGGTGGTAACCCAGGGCGGTGCGAAGCACGAGCCCAACGCCGTCAACTGCGTGGGGGGTCCCACGAATCGTGAGCTCGACGCCTTCAGCTACCAGATACACGAACGCGAACCCATCAGACACGACGGTGGCGTCGCGACAACTGGTTTCCAGCCGGCACCAGCTACATGCGCGAGCCAGCACGTGCGTCAAGAGCTGGCAGTGGCAGCGAACGATGTCGCAGAGGCTAAGTACCGGACAGCATCCGCTACAATCCCGGACTAGAGCGTGCGCGAAGAGCTGGCAGTGACAGCAGTGGCAGCAGGCAGTGGTGCGCGTGGGTTCCAATCGTCATCAGCTATATGCCCGGGGCTTTGCGCGCGAGAGGAGGCGGACCTCCTCAGAATTGCAGGGTGGGCGCGCAGAGCCAGCCTCGAGGGGCGCCAGATCGTCGAGCGCCAGCAGTGGCAGCAGGCAGGGGTGCGAGAAGCCCACGGCAAAGGAAGCAGGCAGCGGTGCGAGAATAGGCAGAGTAGGCAGTAGTGCAGTGGCAGCCGGCAGGGGTGCAGCAGGCAGTGGTACAACAAGAGCCAGCAACAGCAGTGGCAGCGGCAGTGGCAGCGGAGCTGCAAGCAAGCGCGAGCGAGAGGGACAGGTGATACATGTGGGTAGTATGTTGTCAGCTATATATGCAATCCGACGCGTGCGTGAAGAATCGGCAGGGACATCCCGCGAATGGCGCGCTCGCGAGCAGGAGGCAGTGGCCATGCGAGAAGAAACGGCAGTGGCAGACGAAAAGGAAGACTCTCTGAGTTGCGTCCACCAGCTGACACTCGACACCACCAGGCGGTAGCCTCAACCTCGAACTTGCATCAAGATCACCAATGCGATCATCGACAAGCTCCTGGACGTCGACATCCTCGCACAGGATGCCGTCTTGGTGCCAGTGGACGTACGAGGCTTGACCGAGAACCTCAATCTCCACCGCCGCGCGAACTCCGAGGGTTACACCATCGAAGTGGAGCCAAACGAAGCTGACCGTGCCTTCTTGAGGTTCCCCTGTGCACTTCGAGGCAAAAATCAAGCAGATACCGGACGACGAGCGGCCGCAGCCCACCACAGTGAAGACATAGAGAATGGACTTCAGCCTGACCGAAGGGATCGTCGAACAGGACGTGCAAAACTGTGAGGGTATCGAGGAGGGCCACGATGAGGACGACGAGGGTGGCGAGAACGGCAATACCTACCCAAGCGAAGACATCTGGAAGGAGGAAAGACGACCCAGCCAGCAACGACCGCGGTTCGTCCCTGAAGCCGAGCTCGAGCAGTACACTGCATCTACCCCAAAGCGAGGCCGGCCAGCCTGAAGCCCGACGACTACGTGAGCCTGAGTCGGCGGCGAGCGAGAGGGGGAAGAGAGAAGGAGAAGGCCTTTTCAGAAGGCGGCGAGGTTTCTCAGGAGGCACGCAGCCTTCTGGGAGGTTTTCTGATTTCGGGAAGGCTCAGGGGACTTCCGAGTCTTCTGAGAAGACCTCCCACCTGGTTTTCAGACCATTGCTTCGCATTCGGCGATCGACTGACCCGGGCCAATCCAGACCAGGGGAATCAGGCTTTGCAGGGTCCTGCTCCTGCACCGTAGCCCTGGTCTGCGCAACGCTGGTTCTGTCGGATCCTGCAGAAGCTGGCGTTCTGACTGACCCCCGTTTGCATTGACGCCCGTCTCGAGCCCCGACGCATGACTGCTCCCCCCTCCTCCTCCTCCCCCTCCTCCTCCTCCTCGTCCTCCTCCTCCTCCTCCTCCTCCTCCTCCCCCTCCTTCTCCTCCTCCTCCTCCTCCTCCTCCTCCTCCTCCTCCTCCTCCTGCTCCTCCCCCTCCTCCTCCTCATCCTCCTCCACCCCCTCCTCCCCATCCTCCTCCTCTGTTGAAATGCACTACGATCGTCCCCCCTTTTTCATAGTGGCCCTAGCGGGCCCCTAATGCAGCTAGGCCTGGAGGGCCTAGTGATGCGTGTCGGGCCTGAGGGGGCCCCGATAGCCAGCTGTCGCCGCTGACGCGCTTCGGTCCATAACCGTTCTGGCTCCGAAGAGTTCTTGGGCGCAAGGGGTCAAGCATGAAAAGTCTTCGACGGCGGCGGCCGCCACTTGATGGTAGCGGAGCTGGCCGACTCGCCCTCGGTCAGCTCGCCTCCGCCGCGGCAGCGCGGAGGTGAACACGATCACGCTCCTGGCGAGGGCGGTGGCCGTCCAGCAGGGAGCTGGAAGGCGTCCACGGCGAGGAGGCTGGCGGCTCCTCATCGTGCTGGGCCTGGGTGGCTTGGCACACCATACCGGCAGCGGCGAGCCTGATACGCTCAACGTGTGCAATGCCGGCAGCGGTGAGCCTGACAAACTCAAAGTGTGCATCAGTGCGACTGGAGCTGTCGACGTGCCCAACGTCAAGATGACGAAGGTCAGCAAGCTGGAGCTCGAGAAGGACATACGACGGTGACCAGCACTCTTCGAGGAGTACCAACAGAGAGCTCGTGACGCCTACTTCGGTCGCATGGGCGACGAGAAGTAGATCGCGACGCCGATCAAACTACGCAGTGGCCTCAGTGGGACGGCCTACGACGCGGCGCGAGGCTTGACCCACGTGCAGCTGCT